AGCCATAGTAATCAAAACAGCTTGGTACTGGTACAAGAACAGACCTCAGGACCAATGGAATAGGACTCCCACACCTATAGCCACTAAACTTCAATAAGGGAGCTAGAAAAATAGAATGGAAGAAAGACAGCCTCTTCAGTAAATGGTGCTAGCAAAATTGGTGAAACACCTGTAGAAAACTAAAGCTAGATCCCCATATATCACCCTGCACCAGAATCAACTCCAAATGGATCAAAGACCTTAAAGTCATAACAGATACCCTGAAAACATTACAGGAAGGCATAGGAGAAACTCTAGGGCTCCTTGGCACAGGCTGAAATTTTCTTACTAAAGACCCAGAAACACAAAAAAATCAAAGAAAGTTTGAAAAAATAAGATTGCATGAAACTGCAGAGCTTCTGCATGGCAAAGGCCATAGCTAGCAAGATCACAGTTTGGGAGAAGATCTTCACTAGCCATACAACAGACAAGGGTCTCATATCTAAAATATACTTAGAAGTCAAAAACTTAAATCCCCCAACAACAAATCCTCAAAGAAAATACTTCCTGATTAATAAGTGGGCTAAAGAATTAAAAAAGAGACTCTCTGAAGAGGAAGTAAGAATGGCCAATAGACACATGAAGAAATGCTCAACTTCTCTAGTCAAAACAACATTGAGATTCCACCTCACCCCACTTAGAATGGCTATAATCAAGAAATCTAATAACAAGAGATGCTGGAGGGGATGTGGCCAAAAGGGAACACTACTGCATTGTTGGTGGGAATATAAACTTGTTCAACCACTTTGGAAAGCAGTATGGAGATTTCCTATGACCCAGCAATCCCACTTTTTGGCATTTACCCAAAGGATAACAAACAAGGCCATACTAAACTACCAGCACAACTATGTTTATCGCAGCATTATTCACCATAGTTAAGATATGGAACCAACCCAGATGTCCCGCAGTAGGTAAATGGATGAAGAAAATGTGATATATATGCATATATATACTTATATATATGCATATATACAATGGAATTCTATGCCTCCATCAGAAATAACGACACTGCCCCATTTGTTAGGAAATGGAAAGACTTGGAAAAAATTGTATTAAGTGAAGCAAGCCAGACTCAAAGAAACATAGATCCCAGGGTTTCCCTTATCTGCAATAGCTAGTATATGTCTAGGACAAGCAGAAGAGGTCAAAAGCTATGTACATACGACCATATAACCTGATGCTAAATGAAATGAACCTCAAGATAGGGACACAAAAGGTTTTATCTTTGTTGCTGTTCTTTTGAATGTACTTATAATGTATTGTATGATTTTTTTTGTTTCTTTGTATGTTCTCCCCCCCCATGGTACAACCCCTGATATCACTGTATTTGATTCCTATGTCCTCATCTTGTATGTACATTTTCCTAATTTGGGGAGGGGAAGGGACATAACAAAAAGATGAAATAAGGATACAGGACAACCCATTGTAATAATGAGATGTACAAAACCATATGTTGAAAACAAACTTTACAACTTTACGGTGGGGGGAAAGGGAGAAAAGGTTGGGAGGAAGGAATGGTAGGGGAAAAACAAAGGAGGGTGTAACAATGCTCAATAGGAAATGGACTCATTACCTTGCTTATGTAACTATAACTCCTCTGTACAGTATCTTTACAATAAAATATATATATTAAAAATAAATAAAATGTTGGTAAAGGCAGGCACTACCCATGAGTATATGGAAAGAGATGCTAGTGGTTAATGTCAGCAGCAATTATGATTTAATTGTTAGAGCCAAGACTCTGAAGAAATTGTGGGTACTCCCTGTTAGGAAGAGAGAGCTTCAGCAAGTCTTCAGTTCTAGGTAAAGGGAGATTGTAGAAATTTCCTCTAAGAAGCAAAAATGGCAATTACCAACGCTCACTTTCTTTGAGGCACAGTATATTTGAAGGTGGCTATGATCTGGAACCCTCTAATACGAATAACCACCAATATACCAACAATTAGTTTATGTTGTCTCCTTTCCTTCTCTATTTTCCCCTGAGTCTGCACTTGTACTAAGTCATCACTAAGTCCTAGCATAAAAACATTTTAAAACTCAGATATCCTTGGAGAACTTGTAACATCACCATTTCATGAGTGAGGAAACTGAGGGTCAGAGGTCAGCCTGATCGGTTCAAGTTCTTCAGCACCAGATTACAGAGCCTGACTCCCTTACCAGGACTATGTGCTCTGAAAAAAGACTGGAACCAGGAGAAATAGGCCTTTCCACATAGACCAGTTGATACTGTTTTTGAGAAAAAAGTGCTGCTGTTTTCATCGTTATTGTTGCTGTATCACCTTGTGCATGTCACATGTAGTTTTGTAGAGTTCATTTAAAACCCAAACAAGCTGGATGCTGATTGCTCACACCCGTAATTCCCAGCTACTCAGGAGGTTGAGATCTGAGGATCACAGTTCAAAGCCAGAGCAGGCAGGAAAGTCCATGAGACCCTTACCACCAATAAAAAAAAAAACACCAGAAAACCAGAAGTAGTGCTGTGGCTCAAGTGGAAGAGCACTCACCTTGAGCTGAAGAGCTCAAGGACAGCACCTAGCCATAGAGTTCAAGTCCATGACCAATAAAATACAAACAAAAAACCCACACACAAAAAAGATGCTAAATAAATGGATATTGTTATCCTGTCCAAGTGTGCCTGATCCAAAGTCTCAGTGACTTCCCAAGAGGTTCTCAAAAAATACTTTTTGGAAGAATAATGTTAAACTTAGTGTCTTCATAGGTAGTGTCATCTCTAAAATATATTACTAAAACATTCATATTCAAGATTGTCATGACTGGACTCCGTGTACTAGTACTTTGGAAGGAGAGATCAGTATTGTAACTAGAGGCCATCCCAGCCACAATATTACTGATACCTTATCTCTACACACATAAGCTAGTGTAGAGGTCATGCCTGTAGGCATGACCTCAAGCAAGGCATAGGAATAGGGTCATGGTTCATGGTTGACCTGAGCTGAAGAACCAGCTAGCACTTGTACCATTCTCTGTGTTCTACTCATTACATGACCTGTAGAATGGTAGCCTCTCTGTATAATACAATAAAATTATTCTTTTTAATGTCAAGCATTGTCTGTATTCAGAGTTAACTGAAAACATACTATAATTAACTAAAGGTGACTTCCATGAAACTGCTCTTAATGATACCCTGTTCTATAATTAGTTTTCTTTCTATTCTATTAATCTAAGCTTTGGCTGAAACAAACAATTCTGCCTTGCTCTGAGTAGATTACACTCTATGCTCTTTGTGCCTTGGTTTAAAACTCTTTGTTTGCCTTCAACATTCCATTCTAAATCACTTTTCTTTTCTTCAGATTATCTCCTTGCTCTTCATCTTTATATCATCTTGATCTTTTCTTCATCCCTGTTGTTAGTCAGATCACTGCCTGTTGTTAGTCAGATCATCTTTCTTCTCTCCCTATTTCTCTTTTCACCTAATTTAGACAGAAAACTCCAAAACATGTGAGTACTACTTTTTAAACAGCCCTAAATTTGGAAGACTAATGTGCAAGTATTACTGGGAAGACACTGTTACTTATGAAGTATGTTGGCATATAATTTTGTACACCATCTAGATTTTGTTTGCAATTAATGTAGTTAAAAGTGACACTCTGAAGAAGTCAGTTGTTTCGTTCTCTATACACACATGCCCTTTAAGATTCAGTATTTGAAAAGGAAAGAATCAGAGGATGGGCAGTCCATTATCCTCATGTAGAAGATAAAGCTAGAGATTTATAAACCAATGGGTTAAGTCACATACCTGGTAAATGTCAAGCCAATACTGAAAGTAGGTCTCTAGATTTCTAGTTCAAATATTCACCTCCCCTATTATTTGAGCTGTCTTAATTCTACTACTAAATTTAGGGGCAGGGGAATCTAATGAAAAAATCTTTAAAAGTTTCTTGTTTACCTGACATGGTAAGAGAGGAGATAACAGAGATGCAGGGGATGGGAGATGACACTAGAGGATGTGTGGATAACTGACACTGAAGAAAATGAGTATATACAATAGCAAGCTCACTGACCACTGCTTGCTTTCTACAGGTCACTTGTGATGATCCAAGTGTATTTAGACAACTCTATGGAAAAGTCAAGATTTTTAAAGGATGGGGATACATTCGGTGGGAGAATGATGTCATAAAGTAGGGCAATTTAAAGATATCAAATAGCCAATCACAGGATCAGATTCTCAGAAAATGGGATTGGGTGGACCAAAGAAGTAAAGAAACACTGAGGTTGAAAATTTACAGTTTTCATGAAACCATTATAGTTGATTCCATTAGACAACTTTTGAACACACAAAAAAAGAATTAAGCAGCTCTTTGTTACTTGGTTGAAGGATAGGGTGAAGTTTATTGAGGGCAGCTTTTAGGGAATGCTTTATACAAGACACTTCTCTCTTCATTTCTTCTCTTTGAATCTTCTTTTCTGTACCAACTTGGACTGGACCAGGTTGGACTTGCATCTCTCTCTCTCTGGTCTTCACTTTTGTCCCCTTCACTGGAGGAATTTTTTTCATGGAGAAATGTTGATTTTACATCTTACCCTCATGGATGTTTCTTCCTGTCAACTTTCAGAATCAGAGGTCTTCAGTGACCTGATGCTTTGAAAATCACCTCAACACTATAGAAGCAAACATTAGAGAGGTAGAAGACCAAGTTGACTGCAGACTTTCCTTCTTTCTAACTTGGCCCACAATTCTTTTACCCATACTTTGCTTCTTCTGGCTTTTTGGACCATACAAACACCCATTCTCTGGTATTGATGGTATTTTCTCTCTTCTATTAGTGAAACCAGTGTGAACAGTTACTCCAGATTCCTTCCTCTTAGAAATAGACACTATGCAATTGCATTCTCTGTCATTCCTTGGTGCCAGGTCAGGCTAAAATGGAGAGCAAAATAGAGTACACACTGGAAAGTGAGGAGATGGGAGAACATATAGATCTTTTCATTTTTATTCCATTTTATGTTTTGTAAGGTTCAGGCCGAGCAACAGTAGACTGAGACACACTAGGCTGAGGAGTGGTGGTCAATCCTTGTTTGGTTCTATTGGCTGCAATTGGCTGTGATGCTATGAAGCATGTGTTGGCAGTAGCTGGTTGAGATCGGCTGACTGCAGTAGGCTGAGCTGTGTTAGAACAAGGGAGAGTACGGTAAGGTACAGTGGGTCTCCGGGAGGCCAGAGACTGTGGCCTGCGAGAAACAGGTCGAGCTTGAGGCTTCTCTGGGGCTAGAAAAGGCAAAGGAACCAGCTTGACCTTCCCAGGTGGAGGCAGCTCATCCTGGGTTGGTGATGGACACTGGCTTTCACTCCTATCCCTTTTCTTGACTTGAGTAATTTTAGGGCCTTTGCCCTCATGGGGAATACCCAGCCGGGATTTCACAGCTGGAGTGGACTTGGTTTCTTGTGTGCTGCTGGCATTTCTCAAGGCCTTGGGGGAAGGCAGTTCTTTTTTTTTCTCATTTTTCTTCCCTAGTGCATGGAAAACCTGCACTGACTCCCACATCTGCACGCCTAGGTTGGTTCGAGGCCTTTTGAAGGTCTCTTGGCTAAGCTCAGGGTGACTTCTCTTGTGCTTGGTCTTGGGAATGCTTGTCTTTTCTTCTTTTTTGATTTTGTTCCCTGGCTGCTTGGTTTCATCACATTTCTTGGGGTGGTTCTCCCTGATCCTTTTGGTCTCTTTCTGTGCATGGCTCTTAGTTTTGCTGACCTTGCTGGATGCAGCTTTTGGAGATTTGCTGTCAGAATGCTTGTCTGTGTTCACGGAAGCCTGGTCACTGGATGGGATGGTGCACACAGTCACCTCTTCCTCCAGCAGGAGCTCTGGGGGCTGGCATTCGACTTTGACCTCAGGAGTTCCATCCACACTTTCCAAGGCTTCATGCTTGTTCCTTTGGACTTGACCAGTGGAATGCTTAGTGACCATTGAGTTTTCCTGCAGGAGAATCTCATTGATGGTTTCTGTATCTTTGATATCAGTTGTAATAGAAACATTGGATTGGATGAAATCTGTGAATGAATTGAAAATTAGTTAAAGTGAATGTCCTGCAAGTGAATGGGCTGCAAGTCTATTGCTACATTCAACTCCCTTTTCAAGTGTGCCTTGGTCTACTTTTCAAAAAAGACCCTAACAAAAGTGTAGTTTTTCACCTTGGCCCTAAGGATTAACATAGGTCTGAAACTGGTGAAGGCTAGTACTTCTAAAAGGAATGGTGAAGCATCCTGGCTTTCATGGTTATCTAGAAGGCAACCAGAGGCTTTCAAAGTTTGTCTAAAATCATCCAAATACTTATTCTCTGTTTTTTCCTGGCTAGGAGCTGGAGGCGAGGCCAAGATGTTAGGAGAATTTTTGATTGGCGATATAACCTAAGTGTCCCTCAAGCTCTGGTGGCATGGGATTCTCAATTATTTCAGCACTGATTCTATTGTAGATCTTGGGGCTCTCTAGAATTTCTGACAAACAAAATGTATAGCTTGAAAGTTGCAATTCTAGGGAAGTATCCATAGCTGGCTAAGGTTCCATCATTACAAAGAAATTAGTCACTACTAAGTGAGATGCTCAACCCACACACCAACCAATTAAGCAGGCATGTTTCATCCCTGAGCAAGTTGTTTCTAGGAAAAGGTCTTAAGGTCCACGGACAGGACCATGAGTTGGTTGGAACATTTGTGATGACTGCTCTAGTTTAAACTGGTGATAATTTGGTCATTGTTTCTTATTTTCTTTCATTTCATAAGATGTTTGTAAGTGAAATAAAAATGAAAATGATACCAAAAAATATAAAATGATTTGAACTTCAGGAATGGCCCAAGGGTAGATCACTTGTATACTATACTCTTGGATCTATGTTCAAACCCGTGAACAACAGAAAAAACTAGTAAGTTTATAAAACCTCACATTCTTATAGAGAAAACTCAATTCTTGCTACACTTCTTTGATTTTATCATGTCTCATCAAGAACTTAGAGAAAGAAAAAGGGAAGGTCTTGTGTTTTGTGTAATTTTCTTTCTGTTTGTGTGCACACATGCTTACTGGTTCAAAGCCTTTTCACTCAGGTCAGGTACATTAACACTCCAGCTAGGCCTCTAGTGTCCAAGTTAGTGAACTGAAGATAAGTTGCTCAAAATAATTTCAGGCTGGACACGTGCTGGTAGTAGCTCATACCTATAGTCCTAGCTATTCAGGAGGTTTAGATCTGTGGTTGAAGTCAGCCCAGGCAGGAAAGTTGGTGAAACTCTTCTCTCAAATTAATCCCAGGGAAAGCCAGAAGTGGTACTGTGGCTCAAGTGGTAGAGCACTAGCCTTGAGCCAAAAGACCCCAAGGAGATCATCCAGCAGAAAAAAATAGCCTCAAGACTGGCAAAATAAGAGTCAGGCTAACCAGCACAGCCATATTTATTTCAGCACTATTCACTATAGCCAAGGTAAGGGATCAGCCAAATGCCCCTCAGTTGACAAATGGATGAAGAAAATGGGTTATATATACAGAATGTAATTTTACTCGTCCATTAGAAAGAATGATATTGTACCATTTGTAAAGAAATGGAAAGACTTGGAAAAATTATGTTAAGTGAAATCAATCGGCATAGAGAGACAAAAGATGCATATTTTCCCTTATATGTAAAAGCTAGAGTTAGCTTTACAAACACTCAAATAAATAAATGGAGTGATATCCAAGTATACAAATATTAAGGGAGATCTCAAATAGTATAATTCCTTGGAAAACCAAAATCAAAGTTCAGCAAAATAAAACACCAGGAAAGAGGCAGGATAGGCTCCAGGGGAAAGAGCTAGATGAATAAAAAGAAAAGGGGGAACGTGCAGTCAAGAATCTGGTGTAGGGCAGGGAATGTGGCTTAGTGGTAGAATGCTTGCCTCTCACACATGAAGCCCTGGGTTGGATTCCTCAGTACCACATACACAGAAAAAGCTGGAAGTGGCACTGTGGCTCAAGTCGTAGAGTGTTAGCCTTGAGCAAAAGAAGCTCAGGGACAGTGCCCAGGCCCAGAGTTTAAGCCCCAGGACTGGCAAAAAAAAAAATCTGATATATATGATACAAAAATAGTAAGGAGATGATGGTAGGCAAGGGATGAGTGAGAAGGTTGAAAGGGGTAATATTAATAAAGATACATTGTATTGATAACTGCTTTGTTAAACGGTAACTTCTTAGCCTGGCACCAGTGACTCACACCTGTAATCCTAGCTATTCAGGAGGCTGAGATCTGAGGATCGAGGTTCATAGCCAGCCCAGGCAGGAAAGTCTGTGAGACTCTTATCTCCAATAAACTACTAGAAAACCGGAAGTGGCGCTGTAGCTCAAGCAGTAGAGTGCTTGCCTTGAGCTGAAGGGATGAGGGTCAGCACCCAGGCCCAAAGTTCAAGCCCCAAGACGGACAAAAAAAATAGATAAAGTTAACTTCTTTGTACAACTACAAGATAATAATAAAAAATATTCTTAACGTCTTTTTCGCGCTGACTTTGAACCTCAGTTCTCAGATCTTAGCCTCTTAAGTAGCAAGGCCAAAGACAGGAGCCACAGGTGCCCAGCTCAACAGGGGACTTCCCATTCATGAAATACACAAAAAGTATATATTTTGATCCTCCTACCTTTAGACAGAATCTCTATAAACACAATAAAATTAAGAAAAACTTACATGTCACTACCACCATCAATGTTTGAAATATTTTCCAAAGGAACCGAAGAACCAGGTCAAGGAAGAGGATTAATTAGAGGGGTTGGATTTTGAGGACAGTAAAAAGCATGGCCTCCCTGAGTGTGCTTTGGTTGTTACCTAAGTGCAGAACAGCAGTCAACCATCAGGTCCATCCTTCCTCACTTATTTATTTCAATGTATAGCAGTATTGAAGTTTGAACTCAGGTTAGTGTCCTACCACTTGAGGCATGTCCTCAGCCCTCTCTGCGTTATGCAGAGTGAAAAGGGCGAGCACTCAGTGAGGGTAGTTGTTGAGGCTTAGGGCTTAAACTGTACCTATATGTGAACTTACCACTCTCAGCTGCAGATTCATCTCTCCTTTTGGATGCTGCTAATCCTACTCCATTTTGCCTTTTGTACTTACCTTGAAAATTAGTTTCTGTGATGTGTTGAGCAGACACAAAGTAGCAGGTTCCAGATGTGGAGTCCAGTAGTAGAACACTTGTGGGCTGAACCTCTTTTGACATTATCATTATTTCTGATTGAGGGACAGAGGCCCGACTTCCTGTGTAGGACACAGAAACGTAAGACTGAAGAAAAGAACCAAGTTCTGCAGGCAACAGCACCCCATTGGATTCCTTCTTGGTATGCTAGCAATTGTCTATGTCCTTGATTTGGAATCTAAGATGGTTATCCCCTGAACCAGGCTGGCATACAGCAATGAATACAGAGGGACCATGGCATTGGCATCTGCAGTTTTAGAATACTGGGATGTCATTGTCATTGAAGACGCTGATGTGCCCTGGTCAATGAGAGTCTCAGTGAAGTCTTTAAGTGTAGATGGCTTCTTTTTTGTCATTTCCTGTGTACTCTCGTTCAAAAGTACTGGGACAGAAAGAAGCTGAATTGGAAATGTCACTCTAGCTAGTAACCCCTTAGTGTGCTAGAATATTGGTAAAGACAGGCACTAGCCATAAATGACTGGAAAGAGGTACCAGAGATAGATGGTAATGGCTATGCTGAAGTGACAGCTGGAACCAAAACTAGGGAAGCTGCAGGCATTTCTTGTTAGAGACGTGGCATCACTCACCACAGGAAGAGAGAGCTGTAGTGAGTTTGCAGCTCCAAGAAAAGATGAACCATGGTAATTACCTCTAAGAAGCAAGAAGTGATGGGAAAAAATGAATGTGACTAATAAACTCTCACTTTATGTGAATAACAGTATATTTTAACATGGCTGTGATCAGGAACTCTTTAATACCAATAACTACCAGCATACCAAGAAGCAGATAAGAAGGGTTATAAGTGCTGGAGCCATTTAGTATTCTGATGAACCTTCCCAAGTTGGGCAACTGAGAGCTCCAACCAGTCTGGTTCTTACATTGTTGCCTTGGGGACTAGGAATGTGGCTCAAGTGGTAAGAGTCCTTGCATAGAATGCATGAGGCCCTGGGTTCGATTCCCCAGTACCACATATACAGAAAATCCAGAAGTGGAGCTGTGGCTCAAGTGCTATCCTTGAGCAAATGCAGCTAAGGAACAGTGCTCAGGCCCAGTTTAAACCCCAGGACTGGCAAAACAAAACAAAACCAAACATTGATGCCTTGGGTACAAGCAGGCTGCTCCTTTCCTGCTCTATCTTTCCCTGAGTCTGTACCTGTACAAACACATAACTATGTTCTAGCATGAAACATTTTAGAACTCAGATATCCTTGGAGAATTTGTAACATACCATTTCAGGAGTGATGAAACTGAGGTCCAGAGGTCATCCTGATTTGTACAAGTACTTTCTTCATATTAGACTCCTTCTTCAGGACTATGCGCTAAGCAATGACCAGAAGCAGGGAGCAAGAGAACCTTCTGTTGTTAGTGGATGTTGTTCACTAGACAAGAGTGATGATGTTTTTATTGTTACGCTTGGCGTCTCATCTTGTACAAGTCGCAGGCCATTTTGTAGAGTTCATTTAAAACACACACAAATGTTAAGTAAAATCAAACCACCAAAATAATGGTGACTACCTAAATGTTAATTTCTCAAGAAATGCTTTTTGGAAGAAGAATGTTAAACTTTCTGCACCTCTAGCTACTCATCAGTAATATAGCATATATAACAATAGTAATGATGGTGATAATCATAATCATAATGAATAAATGTAGCATATTATACATGACATGGGAAAAGATATAGTAAGTTCTGAAAATATTGATAAAAATGAAAAGTATGATATATAGAACTGAAAATATAAAGGTAACAATGAATATTTGAATGCATGTCAAGTATCCATATGTATATTTACTAATAAATATACTTATGTTCTCATATGCAAAATTATGAAAATATTATCGACTTCATTTTAGCAAAAAAAAACAAAAGCACAAAAATGAAGATGATTTTGAAGTAAGAATTTGTGTGTGTGTGTGTGTGTGTGTGTGTGTGTGTGTATGCGAGCGTGCTTGCATACAGGCACACTGGTTCAAGGACTTGAACTTAAGGCCTGATCTATGTCCCTGAACATTTCGCTTGAGGATAGCACTCTACCACTTGAGCCATAGCTCTACTTCTGGCTTTTTAGTGGTTAACTGTAGGCAAAGGTCTCACAGACTTTCCTGCTCATTTTGTTTCATGATCTTCAGATCTCAGTCTCCTGAGTATCTAGAATTAAAGGTATGAGCCACCAGCAACAGGCTAAGAACTTTTTTGAGACAGCTTTTCAGTAGGTCGCCAATGCTGGAATTGAATTTGGGTTGGTATATAGTTTACTATCCACATAGAAGTCTGTGGCTTCATTCTCCATATACACATACCCTGTAAGACTAGGTATTAGAAAAGAAAGAGATTGGAGGATGGACTGTTTTCTTCATGTAGCAGATGAAGCAACAGATTGTATGAGAGAGTTAACCATCTGACTAAGTCACATACCTAGTAAATATCACAACCAAAACTATACTTTTTCTATGCATGTATATCAGTTGTAGGGCTTGAATCCAGGGCCTGGGAACTCTCCCTGAGCTTTTGTGCTCAAGGCTACTGCTCTACCATTTGAACCACAGCTCCACTTCGCTTTTTGGTGATTAATTCAAGATAATAGTCTCATAGATTTTCTTGCTTTGGCCAGCTTCAAACCATGATCCTCAGATCTCAGTCTCCTCAGTAGCTAGGATTACAGGGCTGAGCCGCTAGCACCTAGCTCCAAAACTGAACTTTTAAGTCTCAAGATTTCTAATCCAATATTTGTCCCCATTGCTTGAAACTGTTTTGATTCTACTGCTAAATTTAGGAACAGGGGAATCTAATGCAAAAATCTTAAGACATTTCTCTTCTTAGATGCTGAGAGAAGAGGTAACATCCATTGGAAAAACAAGGGATGAGGAGATGACATTAGACGATGTATGAGTAATGGAAGCTACGGAGTCGGATGTGTCTAATAGAAGCTCATTGGATGCTGCCACTAGTCACTATGGACATAGAAACCCCAAGATTCTCCTACGTGGTCATAGGTTTGATGGGAAAATGGTGTCATACATTAGGACAGCTTAACTGTATGAAGAAGCCAATTGCAAGATCAGGTTCTGAACCAGAAAACAGGATTCAGTACAGAAGAGAAATCTCTTACTGCTCCTGAATGGTTGAGCTATGGAGAGGTAAGGGCTTGCAGTCTAAAGAATTCAAGGAGAAGAAACTAGAAGAGATGTGCCTTGGATTACATCATCCTACAAAAAAAAAAAAAAAAGAGCTTCACCTTACTTTACTCTTCAGCCAAATAACCAAAAGCTCTTTAATTCTTTTGGAGTTTGAAAGTTCCAGTGAGTTCACTAACTGGTTCAACTAAAATGGTTTCAGAACAACTGTTCTGATTAAACCTTAGCATCCTTTATATTCTTCCCCAAAGATATTAACAGTATATAATTATGTCATTGTGATACTACCTTTTAGAATATGAAAATTATAAATAAATTTATTAATGAACTTTTGTAAAAGACAGGGAGATGATGTTCCCAACATAAGAGCCTTTTGGTCTTGCTAAGATTTTTCAGTTAAAACTAATATTCTACAAAATTAAGAAAAGTGAGAGAAGGGGTGGGTTGGGAGGGATGGGTGGTGAGAATGTTGAAAGGGCTGGCATTGATCAAGACCCATTGTATTTATAAACTGCTTTGTTGAGTGGCAACTCCTTTGTATAGCTACTTAAAGATAATAATATATTTTAGTTTACTCTATATCATATTTAATTATATTTAAATGTATATATGACTGGAGCTCTATAACTTGAGTCAGACCTTCACTTCTGGCTTTTTTGCTGATTAATTGGAGATAAACTTCGCAGGGATTTGTGTGCTCAGGCTCGCTTTGAGCTGAAATCCATGTAGCTCAGGATCCTGTGAGTAGCTAGTATTACAGGTATGAGCCGCCAACCTGGGCTGAAGACCTTTTAGAGATTTCAATCCACATTGTTTGATTCTGTTTCTTTTGGGGCTATGACAAGGGTAAGGAAATGTGTGGTGGAGCAAGCTGCTTACCCTAATTTAGCCTGTACAAAGGACAGAATGATAAAGAGGGAAAAGGGACTGGGTTCCATTATTAATAACAATAACATGCAACCCATGACCAGAAGATGTCTCACTAGACTCTACCTCCTGGGGTGCCACAAACTCTGCATAACACCAAGCTAGGAATTACACCTTTGACACATGGGCCTTTGAGAACATTCAAGATCCAAATATAGCATGTGGTCAGGTGACTTTTTACACTTTTGTAATTTTTACATGTTAAAGGGTTCACTTCCAACATTCACTTCTAGTTAGGCATATGCTGTTTAGCTTATCCCCGTCCCCAGTTTCTATAACTCTCTTCTTTCTATTTGTTTTTCAGGATTAATCAGGGGCAAATTTATTGGAGGACATACAGACAGAAGATTGTTCCTGTGGCAACAAGGCCAGTTAAGTTCCCACAATTTGTGTCAAAAGGAGAGGATTAAATATGAAGACTAGAATAGAAAAAGACATCATTCTACTTGAATGGAACATCAAAGGATCAAGCATATTCTGGAGCAAGGATCTTATTGTTAAGTTCCACAAACCAATGTATTGTACATTTATAGTTGCTGGCAAACTATGCAGAGAAAACCAATTAGCATTACCTTTAAACAGTCATGGTTGTTATATTTTAAAATGACTTTATTCCTGTCTAGCTAAGTCTATAGATTTGATTGTTTAAAACAAAAAAGGCTCAATGCAATGAAGCTGAAACTTACCAGAGTCTACACCTCCACCTGTACTTCTGTGATAAGCTGTTGAGGGGGTTAATATTGAGTAAGGAGGCTATATATATTCAAGTTGTAAGCAAAGTCCATAGCAGCAGTAAAGGCACGTGCACAAAGGGTCAGAAAACAATCATACAATTGAAGTAACAACCATCTTCTCCTGCCCCCAGCAGTCCAAGGGACCAAACCTGTCTTAGTGTCTCTCTTATAAGGAGATAGAGTCACATGAGGTCTTATTTAAGATGTTCATGTGTGACTTGAGGTGAATGACAGAATAGATGTACATGCAACATTTTATCTTGAAAGTAGCAAATGTTCCATGGGGGGAAT